TTATTGATTTTATGTTGAACCATCCCTGCATCCCTGGGACGAATCCTTCTTGGTCAGGGTGTATGATCTTCTTGATGATCTTCTGCCTTCTATTTGCCCATATCTTATTGAGGATTTTTGCATCTATGTTCATTAGTGAGACTGGCCTATAGTTCTCTTTTTCGGTTGAGTTTTTCTCCTCTTTGGAGATCAAGGTAATGCTTGCTTCCAGGAATGAATTCAGGACTACTCCTCCCTTTTCAATTTCATTGAAGAATAGTAGTGGTAATATCTCTTCTCTAAATGTCTTGTAGAATTCAAATATTTCTCAGACAAAGAAGTGAAAACAGCAAACATGAAAAAATGTTCAACATCACTGGTCATTGGAGAGATCCAAATGAAAACAACACTGAGGTTCTACCTCACTCCAGAAGAAAGGCTGCTATCAAGAAATCAACCAATAACAAACACTGGCAGGGCTGTGGGGCTCCCACTGTTGGTGGGAGTGTAGACTGGTGCAACCACTGTGGAAATTAGTATGGAGATTCCTCAAAAAAACTAAGATTAGAAGCCCCATTTGACCCAGCTATTCCCTTGCTGGGTATCTTTCCAAAAGAGTTAAAAGCATCATACCACACTGATATATGTGTACCCATGTTTATAGTGGCACAATTTGTAATACCTAAATCTTAGAAACAGACCAAATGCCCATCAACTGGTGACTGGATAAAGTAGATGTGGTTTTTTAAATAAAATGGAGTACTTCTCAGTCATAAGGCATGATAAACTAGAGACATAGCTAAATGGATGCACATTGAGTCCATACTCTTAAGTGAAATAAATAGGACACACATGTGTAAATACTAGTTTCTCTGGTGTGAAAGTGTAAATGAGTACCAAAATGTATAATAGATAATGTGAAATAGGAAGAAAAGGTGCAAAGGGGAAGGGGACGTGGGGGATAGGAAAGAAGGGAAAGGAAAAAATTTGAGAAAAGAAAGAAAAAAATGGAAACAGTTTTATTGTGATTAGGGAGGAGTGGAGAGGCAGAAAGGAGGGGAGGGGAAAGGGGAAAAAAAAGAATCAAGATATACCATGTACAGGTATGAATTCCCTATGATGAATGTGATCATAATGTATACTTAAAATGTACCAATAAACTTAATGAATAATAATTTTAAAAAGGATCCTTGAACCCATGCTACCATTAAATTTTTGAAGGCTTGTAGAGTAGATTAGGCATCATTTACAGAGCCTTCCTTCCATTCTCACTGCCCTTACTCTCAAGTCATTACTTTACACAGATTGCTTTGATGACCCTTCTAACTAATCCCCCTGCTTTTAGAGCAGGGGTCTAGGCTACTGCTTGTTTTTATATGACTCTTAATCTGTAAGAATCATTTTTACATTTTTAAATGGTTGAAAAAATTAAAAGAATAACATTTTATAACATATATAAATTTTTAATGAAATTCAAATTTTAGTGTCCATAACTAATGTTTTATTAGAACAAAATCATACGTATTTGTTTAGCCATGGTTGAAAATCACTTCTGTAAATTTCTATCCAATTATACTACTGTACTTACTTCAAGGGCTTTTTAAAATGCAGATTACGCTAGTTGTGTTTAAAGAGCTTTATTTTTTATTTATTTTTGTTTTTGGTACTGGGGAAGGAACTCAGGACCTCGCACTTGCCAGTAAAGAGTTTTATTTTTATTTTTTAAAAATTATTTTATTTTGGGCTGGGGACTTAGTGGTGTCACTGCCTCTCTCGGAAGCGCAAGGTCCCAAGTTCAATCCCTGGTATTGGGGGGGGGATTATTTATTTATTTTGGTACTGGAGATCGAACTCGGGACCTTGAGCTTGTGAGGCAGGCGGCAGAACCACTGAGCTAAATCCCCAGCTCAAGAGTTTTATTTTTAAATCAAACAGGTAGATCAGGGTTCTTAATTTGTTTTTTCCCCAGTATAATTTGCAGCATATGATGATTAACTTTTTACTATAACATAACTGAATGAAAAATGTCTATCTCAGCCAGGTATGATGGTGCATGGCTATAATCCCAGCCTTTGTGAGGCTGAGACAAGGAGGACCACCGAGAGTTCGAGGCCCGCCTGAGCTACATAGTGAGTTCAAGGCCAGCCTGAATTATGTAATGAGACCCTGACTCAAAAAAAAAAAAAAGTACATCTCATGCAATTGATTTGGCAAGAGTTACTCATGTGTCAGTGTAATTTACCTCTCTACTGAAAAATAAAAAAATATATAATGTTTTCATAAGCATTATGAAAGAGAGCTAGCTTTCTCTCTCTCTCTTTTTAAATATATCTTGTTAAGGCAGCATTTTTCTTGAATTGTTTGTAAAGTATATATGCCTAAGTTTGTAGTGACAGATTTCATAGAAAAATGGAGGATAGATGCATGATAGGAGCTTTAGTTATTCAAGTACAGATAACACAGAATGACAAATCTTAAAATTTCTCCCTTATACATAGAATTTCTTAAATAATGGTATCCATTGTAAGGAATGGTAATATAGACCTGAGAAGGCAAGTTTATATTGTTGGTAAAGTGTTCCAGATCTCATAATGAGGTACTTCAGTGTATTTTGGTTGTTGTTCATTGCCAAAAGAAGCTCTCATTTTATTTATTTATTTTTTGGTACTGGGAATCGAACTCGGGTCCTTGCGCTTGAGCAGCAGGCGACGAAACCACTGAGCTAAATCCCCGGCCCTCAGTATGTTTTTTAATAGAATGAAGAGGCAAGGAGGGAGAGAGAAAGCACATATAGACTGTGGGGAAAGTATTTTTCTTTAATAGAACAGGTTTTAAAATTTTATTTTTAAAATTAAAAACAATTTTTGGTACCATGGATTGAACTCAGGATCTTTTGCTTGTGAGGCAGGTGGCAGAATCACTGAGCTAAATCCCCAGCCCTTAAAGTTTTATATTAGAAACAAAAATGAAAATCAAATTTAAATTGTAAGACTAAATCTTCATAACTTATTTCATCTTTTTTTTTTTTTTTTTTTTGGTACCAGGGATTGAACTCGAGACCTTGTGGTTGTGAGGCAGGCAGAGGAACCACTGAGCTAAATCCCTGGCCCTTCATAACTTATTTTAGAAAGCCTGTATTCTGTAAAGGAACTACTGTAGTTACTGAATTGTACTCTTTGAAGATACTTTTATGTGAATAAAATGAAATGAAAACATTAGTAAATTCAACAATTGAATTTGAGTACAAATTAATATTAGAGATATATTGAGGTATACTGCCTTGGATTAAAATATAGTTTCATCTTACTGGTTTTGTCATTTGATTCCATTTAGTCACCATGAGTTTCAGTGTCTTCATCTGTGAAATAGATTTTTACTTCATGTGTGTGTATATATATATAATATATATGTATATACTTGATAGATAATAGGTATTAACTGTTGGCTGCCTATCTCTCTGTTCTTAAATATTATTAAAAAGGGCATACTTTAAGGGTTTTTTGATCTTTTGGATATTAATTTATAAAAGTACAAGGAAAAAAATCGTAGAGGGTTTGAAAACCTAAAAATTAGATTTGACTTGGTCCAGTTAAAATATTAAGTCTTAGAAAAAGAATTCATATAAATTACAGAATTACTTACTTGGAATATGAAATTGAAGAGTTAAAATTTTTAATTTCAACAGAGGCAGATCACTCATTAAGGTGTGATAATGCACAGGTAGATTTTTTCTTTCATTTCTGTTTCACATGTCAAAGGAAAAATTCTTACCTTTGTATTTCATATAGTATGTTATTTTGTTCACATATCTAATTATATTCAAGTGTAATAATTTAGTAACAGCAGAATCAAAATAATATTTAAACTGATTTGTATTTTAAAAGTATTTGCATGCTACAGTGAAGCACATAGCTGCCTGTCGCTGAGTATTTTCTTTTTGCTAAATTATTTTGCAAATGTGACTAAATTAGTGGGATGTTTTATGAAGTTGCCAAGGTCATACTGGACTCAGATATGAACATTTTCTGTGAATTTATGTACTATTTTAGACTGTCACTATATTTTTGGAATCAATTAACTGAATGACCCTATATTTGCTAGCTAAGGCCTCTGTAAAATACAGAGTACTTGAAAAGTATACTCGATAAATGAATTCAATTTTTGCTAAGCCTCATGTGTATTAACTAAATTAAAAAGAAAATTTTATATCAATGATGAATTAAAAGAGCTATATGTCTAAAAAGAGACATCGTATGTCAATACACGAGTCTATGGCAAAAATTAAACTATAAGTAGATGACAGCATAAGAGTAGACCTTGTTGAACTGTAAGCTACTACTTCTTCTATAAGAATAAGCTAAGTGGTTGTATAAAAGAAAGCATAAAGGAAATTGTTAAGTTTTTAATACACTTTAAACTTGACTAATGTTAAAATAAATGTATAAGCATTTAGACTGCTATGTTAAAGTTTTACCTTCATTTGGTCTCATTTAAAAAAAAATCTTAGCTATGTCTTTAGACATTTTCAAAGTACTGCTTTCTGCTTTACTGTCCCTACTTTATTTACAAAGAATAATATCTTATAAAATGTATAAATGACATTTATGATAGTAAAATATACAGTCCTAAGGATTGGATTATTTGATGTACTTTAGATAATTAAGCAGTTGTCATTTGTTTAGATATTGCTTTAAATTAGAGCTTATAAACTGGAATTCAGTGAATGAACTTGAGTTGATAAAATTACTTCATTATATGTTAAGTAGAGTATACTATATATGGTGGAGGGGAAAAACACTTGTACTTTCATTAGATTTTTAGGCCAGAATGTAAACTATCCCTACAAGAATAGGAGTAAGAACCATTGGTTTTTGTAGAGAAAATTCTCAAATATTTTAATGACCCAGATCATAAGAAATGAAAGCAGATGATAGATACAGTAGTTATAAGATGTAGATGGCACTAGACAGAAATGTCAATCTCATTATATATTTGGTTATGCTCTTTTTAATTTTATGCAGATGGAGGGAGCGAGGAACCACCCGATCGAAGACAGTCAAGTGTCGATTCTCGCCAAGGCCGCTCTGGGCAAGGTATAAATTTTAAAATGTCACCTATTCCTTTCTAGTCCTTAATTTAAAGGCTGAGATTTGTGTTGGATCTACTTGAGGTATTCTAGTTTCTCATGTAGGATATAAATGATGTAATTAAAATTTCTATATAATATTTATTCAAGATACAAGAAATTAAAAAGTGGTTTCATGTCATTTTAAAGATGATATTAAGGTTTAAGAGCTGGGGTTTTTGCTCAGTGGTGTTGCGCCTGCCTTGCAAGTGCAAGGTCTTGAGTTCAATCCCTGGTACTGGGGGAAAAAAAAGATTTAAGAAATTTTGAAGCATAGTGGTGTATGTCTAGATAGCAATTTGGGAATGTAACCAAAAGTAAATTTTCAGCAATATCATTGGTTCAAATTTTTTATTTCATCATTGTAATATATATTGTCTTAGTTCTCTCAGAAAAATGGTAGAGGTGTTGTATTATTTTAGGATCTTTCTACTAATTTTTCTTTTCTAATTAAAATTTATTATTATAGCCTTTTGACTTAATTTTTTGAAGTGACAAGTGTAAAAACATTTCATGTCAGTGAAATCTTCTGATCCTCTGATAGGACTTTCCTAAGCAGCCTATTTAAATTGCATGACCATTCTCCATCTCTATATTCCTTTTCTTCGTAGTAATTATCACCTTTGTATTTACTGTTTATATGCTCTGTTCAAAATAGAATGAATATTCCTTATTTACCCTTTCAGTTTCTCACACCAGAGAAACTATTTGGTATTTATACATGTGTGTCCTATTTATTTCACTTAAGAGTATCGCCTCAAT